TTATTTCACTCAGCATAATTTCCTCCAGTCCCATCCATGTTGATGCAAAAGTTGGCTATTCATACTTTCTGATGGCTAAGTAATATTCCATTGTATATATGGGCCACATCCCATATTCTTCTCTTAGGTTTTCTTGTGGAAGTCTGCTGTAAGAGGGGCAGTGCATTAAAACACTGCTTCTTTGAACAAGAGTCTGGCCCCTAAAATCCTGTAGCTTCAGGCCTCAGAAACACAAAGCATTGTGCAGACCTTCTTTTCTGGGGTGCATAACCTCTGCCCCAACAGTTTAGAGTTCTGATCCATTAAGTGATACTAAGTGTGTCTTTACCTACAGGATAGCCATTTGCATTCTTCTTCTTCTTCTTCTTCTTCTTATTATTATTATTATTATTTTGTCAGAGATAGAGAGAGCACAAACAGGCAGAGAGAGAAAGAGAGAGAAGCAGGCTCCCTGATGATCAAGTAGCCCAATGCAGGACCCTGGAATCATGACTGAAGCTGAAGGCAGACATTTAACCAACTGAGCCGCCCAGGTGTCCCTCCATTTGTCTTATTCATACCTGCCCCATAACTTTTGGGTATCATTTCTGTGTTAATGAAAATTTGCCTTGTGAGTCCAGCAAGTCAGAATTCACATGCCCAGTCTCCTTTCCAGCTGGGATGCAGGCATGTCACCTCTGCTTCCCTAGTCAGACCTCTTATGCAGCTCTTACTGGAGGTGAGCGCTGGGAAGCAGGCTCTGCATGGAGCTTCTGTTCTGAGGTTAGGATCATTGGCCGCAGTAACTTCTGTCTTTGGGGGGATGGCACCTATTGACCCTATTGATCCTTAGAGAGGAGTGGTTGTGGAACTGGCAGCATGACATCTTTGGCTGGGTAGGTCTCCAATATTTGACTTTCAAGGCTAGTGAGCCAGGCAGAGTTCCCTTAGCTCTCTGCTCCAGTGAGCAACATGGTGAGCCCATTAGCCAAAAGCCCATTTCTTCCCTGGTCATGGTTCTGTGGCAGCCTGATATCTTCTTAATTATACCCTTTGCCTTGGAACTATCAGAGTGAATTCTTAGTTTGTAACCAATAATCTAATTTAATACATGTTCTATTTTGCCTGTTTCCTGCTCCTTTTTTTTTTTAATTGAGCAGACCAGTTAGAGTTTCCTCAAAATTTTAAAAATAATGGTTTGAAAACCAGCTGATAGATTTTAGGAAATCCCTTTATTTTACATTGATCCTACATTTCCTGATCTTAACCCACTGAGCCACCCAGGTGCCCCTTTTCCTGATCTTTTACACTGAATGTTTCCTTTGTTTGCTGTGTTATCCTCCAGATAGCCAGCCATTGAATCACTTGTTCCTGCCCTGAAGTTTTTCTCAGAATTTTAATTATTTTTTCATCAATTTCTATCCTGACCATTCTAAAATTGCAGCCCACACTTCCTTGCAGTCTACTTTACCTTGGTCTGCTGTATTGTTTCCATACCTCTTCTTTCTTTCTAAATGCAAAATTGTTATTGGGGTGTCTGGGTGCCTCAGTCACTTTTGCATCCAACTCTTGATTTTCGCTCAGGTTATGATCATAGGGTTGTGAGATCAAACCCTGTATCAGACTCTGTATGGGCATGGAGCCTGCTTAAGATTCTCTCCCTCTCTCTCTGCTCCTTTCTATCTCCCTCTCTTTCTCTCTCAAATAAATAAATAAATAAATAAATAAATAAATAAATAAAAAGAAATTATTTAATTACTATTATTGTCTGTGTCCTATAATTACAATGCAAGCTTTGGGGACATGTTTTCTTTCTTTGTTGGTTTGCTTTGTCTTAAACCGATTTATTCCAGGTACCTAGAATAGTTCCTGGAATATTATAGATCTTCAGTAAATATTTGGTGAATGAATGCATATTGAGATATGTCTATATCTGTATAATTGTGCTTTGTAAAACTTTACTTTTTTTAAACACCTGGTCAGGAGAAAATAAATCCAATTTCTCCAGTGGTTGAAATGTGAACCTAAGGTGTAGATTCCCTTCCTGACTATATCATTAGACTCATGAATCAGGGCAAGTCCTATCCTTTTTGATCTTTGGCTTCCTTGTTTGTTAAGCTCCAAAGGAAAACAAACATAAAAATGGGACATCTGAGAGGAAAATTTAGCAATGATTCTCCTGCTTTTAAATATCTGTGTGTGTGCATGTATTTTTCTCCTCTTTTCCCTTTCTTTCTTCTTACTCATTGACATGCATTCAGTTAACATAGCTTAAAACCTTTATACTAATTTCTAGACATGAAGAGGAGACCCCAAGCCTCAGTTTTGTAAGACAGTGATGGATTTGAAACAAAGCAAAGCCTCAAGTTGCTGTGAAACTTCTAGAGGCTTAAGATACCAAATGAGAATTGGTAAAATTCCTAGAAAGCAACACAGACACCAGAAGCTGTATACAAATTGGTTGTTCGGAAATCATACCATTAGTAATGATGCTATTAGTATGATTACAACCTTGGTTTAGCTCATAAGCAAAAATAATTCATGATGGTATTGAACATTATTATTTGATCTGGACTAATGTTATGGGGAAGAATCCTGGGCGGTGCCAGAAGGATGTAGAGTTGGGGAGATTTCTTCTCATGTTTTGGACCCAGAACCAAAATTGGTAAATATATTCACATATAAAATGTTTTACCGTTGTGTTCCCTGGACTCAAACACCTGGAAAATCTACCTAAATTTACTCCATTCCCAAAAGTAGTGCCCTATGCCCTAAATAAACCCACCAGCTCTCTAGGCCACTTGAGTGGCTTATCTAAGCTAGAATTTAGAAATAAAACAATTCATTTGAACTATTGTTCCATGATTTATAGCTGCTTGAAACTAGGGAAAATGGATTTAAACCATTGAGAATTAGTATTTAAAAAGAAGGGTCTGGTAAACAAATATTGATAACTGGAATTCTAGCTTAAAAGATAATAAGGGAGCTTGGAACATTTTAGGCAGGATCAGGTGTGTTATTTTGGGTTTTGTATGGTCCTTCAAGCTGTCCTCCTTCGAGCTCAGCAACTCTAAGATACTTTTGCTTTTCACAGTATCTTCCTGAACTTTTGACCTACTGTTTCTTGGAAGCTCCAGATTGTCATTTCTCTTCCTACTTGCCTCAGTGACTTTCATAAGTATATTAGCACAGAGAGCAATCCAGAGAAAGTTGTCGCTATCTGTGCATACACAAATAATTTGTAAATTATGTATTTGCAAATCAGGAGTTGTATGCACAATTAAATCTTGACTTGGCAATATTCCAACCTAGTAACATCATCAGACAAGCATTGTTCCATTTTAAAATGGTACATCATTAAAAATGATCCCTAATAAGCATTTTTTTTCATTTTTTAGTAATCGCATGTTAAGTGCCTGTTGTATGCCAAAAAGAAACAAAACAGCAATTTCCAAAGGGACCTGGACCTAACTCCATGCAGCCTGATGATGTATAACACCTCCATCTCTCCCTACAACCCGTTGCTTGGATACACTATCATCTTCTGAGTAATAATTTTAATATACTGAAATATTCCCAATCATAAAAGAAAACTCCAACAGATTTTACTAAACTAAGCTTTGAACAAAACAAACAAACAAACCAAAAGGAAGAAAGAAATTGATAAACACAAGACTCTAAAGTAGTTTTCTCTCAACTACAGAAACCAGAAATCAGTTTATATATCAACTCTGTATGGGTTAAATACACCTTCAGAAGGAATTATTTGGCCCTTGCAGTATTGATCATCAACAGGTTTTATTCTTTTTCCTTCAAATCTTTGAATTTGAAATATATAACTTCTCTTTAAACAAATTAGAAGCTATGGTAATCCAGGGTTCCAACACTCTTCTTCCACCGTAGTCTCCACTTGTCCTCAGAGACTATCAGAAACTGAGAACTAATGTCAGGTCAGTTTTCGCCCTCATGCTGTTGTTTTTCCTTTAATAGTTTTATAATGAAATTTAATTTCTGTATCTGTATCTTAAAAATATTTGGTCTGCAATTTAGCCCAGTTTATTCAACTAGGATAACTGTCTGATTTGAGTTTGTGACCCTGCCTCTGAACATTGTGATTGATCCTTGTCCTACTATGTGAATACTTTTCATGAAAGCGTTTTTATGTCTGTATCTGTTTATATCTATAGATATGGATATCGATATAGATGTATATGTGGATATATATATATATGTGTGTGTGTATAGAGAAAGAGAGAGAGAGAGTATTGTATATATGTACAGATACATATAGATCCATATACAGGATGAGAGAGGGAAAGAGAGGAAGGAGGAGAGAAAGAAAGAAAGGAAGGAAGAAGAGAGGAAATGAGAAAGGGAGGATATATATGTAATATGTGTAAATATGTATTTATTCTTTTTTGAAATTTAATTTAATTTTTTTCAGTGTTCCAAAACTCATTGTTTATGCACCACACCCAGTGCTCCATGTAATATGTGCCCTCCTTAATACCCACCGCCAGGCTCACACAACCCCACCCCCAAAACCCTTAGTTTGTTTCTGAGTCCACAGTCTCTCATGGTTTTTCTCCCCCTCCAGTTTCCCCCATCTCACTTCTCCTCTCCATCTCCCGATGTCCTCCATGTTATCCCTTATGCTCCACAAGTAAACAAAACCATATGATAATTGACTCTCTCTGCTTGACTTATTTTACTCAGCATAATCTCCTTCAGTCCCATCCATGTTGATGCAAAAGTTGGGTATTCATCCTTTCTGATGGAGGAATAATATGCCATCATATATATGGACCATATAGTCTTTATGCATTCATCAGTTGAAGGGTATCTTGGTTCTTTCCACAGTTTGGCAACTGTGGCCATTGCTGCTATGAATATTGGCGTACATATGATCCTTCTTTTCACTACATCGGTATCTTTGGGGTAAATACCCAGTAGTGCATTTATTCTTGAAGACATTTCCATGTAAGCTTCTGACACCCTCTGCAAACTATCTTGTCTTTCAGATGGAACACCATTTACCTGGTGGATTGGGCGGTCCAATGAAAGGCACCCTTACTGGGGAGGTGCCCCGCCTGGGGTTCAACAGTGTGAATGTGGCCTGGATGAGAGTTGCCTGGACATTCAACACTTCTGCAACTGTGATGCTGACAAGGATGAATGGTAATGGGGATTATGATCTTTCTGCAGTTGTAGGGGAAGCACTTTAATTGATGCACAAATTTTCCCCCAAGAGAAAAAGACATGTTGAGAAATTCAATATAAACTAGGTCTCTAACTCCATGCTTCTGTTTGTTTCTGTTTGTTTTTAACTTTTCTGATTGTTTTTAACTTTGAGAATTGCCAGGTGTAGTACTTTTAGGACTATCACTGAGGTTTGTAACATAAAACACATTGTCACATCATCACCTCCTTATAGTCTGAACATTCCATTTTGTACAAAAGAATGAAATGTAACACTAAGCTTTGTGACTTATCCAATGTTTCTATAATGTGTGGACTATATGTTCTGGGAGAGAGTGTGGGAGATAAGGATGTGCAATTATACAGACCATATCTTCATTCTCCCATTTTCCTAATGATGTTTCAGTCACCAGCCTACCTAATCATGGAATAGAAATATAGCAAAGAAAATGTATATTTATTGAGCATCTACTTAATCACAAAAAAACATTTATTAATTCCTTATAATTTTCCCACCTTTGCATCTTAAGATTGAGAAATACAGTTTATAGAGAAGTTAAATAATTTTCCCAAGGTTGTACACATGTATTAAGTGACAGATCCAGAATTTGAACTCAGTTATGGCAGGGACCAGGTCATTCTTGTTCTCCCATATCATGTTGCTTTTGTAAAATGAGGCTTAGTTTTTGGTTCTCAAATCCATAACATCTACTTTGCATTTGTCCTGCAGGTGAACTGTCTGTTTTTTACTGTATTATGAAAATAGGCACAGAACAGTTCCAAACCTGCTTTTGTTTTCACTAAATTTAAGGCATTCTTCAGTTTTTGTTTTGTAATTTTGCTTGCTTCATGAAATTCTGCTCAATTATAATTAAAAATTCCTATGTCAAGTTGCTCTCAACCCACTTGATTTCCTTTTAACTACTTCTTTTTCACTGTTTAAATTGATAACAGCAGGGACTGTTTTGAATGAAGTTTAAGGTAGAGTCAAACTCTCAGTTCAATTGGAAAAGAGCAAACACTTGCCTCCCCTGTGTTCTGCTAAATGGGCCACCTCTTCAGAATGCTGTAGGGCTTCTTGGGCCCTGAGAAAAGATACCTGGATGCTTTCTTCTAACCTGAAAATCTTCATAAGGGTAAAATCAAACAAAGTTGACTAGACTTAGTTTGGACTTCTCCATTCCTCGGACCCCCACTTTACCCTGCAGTGCCTTCTCTCATAACATCATGGAGGAGTGCAATAAAATATAACTCATATTTTGAATGGATACCATGTCTTTTTAAATATTATATTCCTCAAGATCTATTCCTTTTACAGTAGAAACTCAGTGGCAGTTAGCTGAATACATGAATTTAGAAAACTTTTAAGGAGGAAGGGTGATCACAAAATGTCTCCTGCAAACTTGAGAGATGTGTGTGGAGAAGTTAAATGATTTTGTTGCTGGGAAAACATATTCAAAATGATCTGCAACCAGTAGCTTAGATTAACTCATTTTGTGAATTCATTAAATCCCCTTCTCTATGCTTGATATCAGAAATGTATATACGTATAGACCTGAATGGAAACAACTTTATTTCATTATGTATAATCAGGGAAGTTGATATGGGGCAGTAGAATATAAAGGGAAGGGGAAGTGTTTCTCCTAATTATCTTCACTCCCTTTTGGCTGAATTCTTGATTTTTGCTCATTGTTTTATTTCCTGTGGTGTGGCCCTTTCCATACTGAACACTGCCTCAGTGCCTTTCTTTCCTAGGGAACAACCAACCAGGGCTAGCCTTAATTTACTGAGCAAATAGGGGCAGTGAAGGAAAATGACATCACATTACTTAAAAGTGGAAAATAAGCTACCACTCTGATGAGCTTCCACACTGTCTCCTCTGAGACTTCCCACTGGCCATCTCTTTTACTCAGATTCCAGCCTCTTCCTCCATTGAACTACTCACTATCTTACTAAGCTCTGACCCCTTTATATGTTGACTTAACTTCGTCATCTAGGCTGTACTCAGAGGAGTGTTTCAAAATGTCCTTTCTGTCAACTCTGGTGCTATCGTACCTCTATCAACATAGAGGTCATTGTATATTTCATAACCCTTTCTAGTTCCTTTACAGTCAGGGGGAAAACCTCTATTATTTTCTACTTTCTGTGGCAAGTGACCTCTATTAGGGGTAGCAACATTTAATTTTAGATATAAATGTTGTTCAACAATCCACATAACTAGGATCAAGAGAAATGATCTGAACTTCCTTTTGTAAAGATTCCTACTTCACTGTGACTCGAATAACATGTTGAACATCTCAGGGCAAAAGTCAGATGAGGTCAGGAAGTTCCTTGTGTCATTCTTATGAAGGAGCAGAGGCTGAGATTTAACTCTTCTGGATTGCACTCATTTGTATCAGGACAGTCACAGGTTGGTATACATGAATCTGAAAAATACTTTGTTATAGGATCAACTGTACTTACCATTCCATCTGATATTTACTCATGTAACATCTGCTTACTGCATGCATGGTCTTTGCCAGTCAAGCAGTCTTTGGTGCAGAGAAGGTCAAGGGCATTACAATTTCTGCCTTTGAGGAACTCACAGAACAGTGAGAAAGAAAAAATAATTAGTTAGTTAGCAATAAATGTACTGTGTAATGAATTTGGTAATAAAGATGAGTATAGATATGCCCAGAGCTATGGTGGATATGGACTGGGATAAGTGGCAGTTAGGTTTCGAAGGACCAGAAAAAGTTAGCTGAAGTTAGTGTAGTAAAGTTAGGTGGAACCTCCATATGCTCAGACAGGGAAATGTGAAATATAGAAATAGCTACTTCCCCAGAACAATCTGTTGTGATTATTGCCCCGTCGTCATGTGGGGAATTTACAGGAGAGGAAGACAGGAAAGAAGACCAAATCCAGATCAAGAAGCTCCTTGTATGTGAACTAATAGTGAGATCCCTTTGTCTGTGACAAGACTGTGAACACAGAATATCCTTTCCACCAGGACACCTGGCAGAGTCTTGTGGAAATGCATTCATTACCTATCTATTTAAGTCTATTATTTGCTGTAGAAGGGAAAAGTACAGAAGCTTACACAGTCGTGAAATAGTCTTTTTCCTCTTTTATTCTCCCAAGCACACTCTTAGCTTGCACGTGGTCAAGTGGGCATTCCACACATTTCAAGTTTGTGTTTCAGTCGAGCATGCCCTTGCTAATATCTCTGCTATTTCTATGTGCTCCTCAGAAAACTCAAATATATTTACCTTGTACAATTCCCTCAAGTCTCTGCTCTTGATAATTTTTTATTATTATTATGTTATGATAGTCACCATACAGTACATCATTAGTTTCTGATGTAGTGTCCCAAGATTTATTGTTTGTGTATAACACCCAGTGCTCCATACAATACATGCCCTTCTTAATACCCACCACCAGGCTCACTTAATACCCCCCTCCCCTCCAAAACCTTCAGTTTGTTTCTCAGAGTCCACAGTCTCTCATGGTTTTTCTCCCCCTCTGATTTCCCCTCCTTCATTTCCCCCTTCCTTCTCCTAATGTCCCCCATGCAATTCCTTATGTTCTACAAATAAGTGAAACCATATGCTCTTGGTAAAATTGATCAGAAAACTGATTTGGGCTAGTAGAGCATCTAGGAAATAGTAGTTTGATATATTACAACTCCTAGGTAGTATTGTTGCTAAAAAATATCACCTATCATATACCAAAGTGTTCTTGGTATTTTATGTACTACACCTCATAGCATCATCCCACCACCCATCTCTTTTCCCCAGAAAAGGAAACTGAGGATCTGGCATGATAAGTGGCTTAGTTAAGGTCATGTGACTAAGGGGGCAGAGTAGGATTCTGCTGAATCCCAGGATGTTCTTGGTGACTCCATGAAAGGAGCCACCGAGTTGAGATTCTGAGTTATGACAGTGGGTGAGGATGCCAGAGAGACCTCTCCCAGGGCTTCTCCAATCACATCATGGTAGCCTCTGGGTTTCTTTGTGTTGAATCAGGCTGCTCAGGGGAAGCTTAGCCATCCTCTCAGCCTCTGGCAATTGACAATAGTTTATTCTGTTTTAATCAACCTCTGTAACTGAATAAATTTGTGCTATATATTTCAATAAGACCAAGTAAATGAGGAAAATGATTATGGGGTGGGTGAGAGGGAAAGTGAGTCAGCTCAGAAGATGGAGGTGGATGGAGGGGAAAGAAGAACTTGATGAACACAAGAAGTGTGACTTCTTAGAGTAAAGGAAGTGTCAGGTAGGCATTGGAAATCAAGTATACTACTGAGCTGACGTCACCAGAGGGTTCGGATCCAGCCAAAGAACTAAACAGTAAGAAAAAGAAAATAAAATGAGAAAACTTGAAATGAGTAACAGTTTTACAGTCAGTGATTGTTTGCAAAGGAACTTTTCTTCAATCTGATGGTTCAACATAAGAAATCATGCCAGTTGGGTATTTTCTGATCCCATTACTTCAGACCGATAGACTGCGGAGAATAGCAAAGGACACTGGGGATAGCTCCAGGCTAGAGACAGACAGTATAGGATGTGGGGTTCTGTAGGGTGGGAAACTGTCATCTATGTAGACAGATCCAAAGGCTGGTTCTGGCAGCAAGTTGGAGGAGGCTGGGAGATCTTTCAAAGTGTGCCTCTTTCTGGTGGCCTGTGGTCCTAATGAGGACTTCTTTCAGCCAGACAACCAATCAGAACTGAGACAAAGCTCTACTGTTTAACAGGGAAACATCTTTTAAAATTTAGTCATAAGGAAGTGAAGATATTTTTATTAGATTTTCAGTAACTTTGTTCTTTGCCGCTTGTTCCTTAATACACCCTTATATAAAGTAATATGGTACAAGATTGGAAGAGAAAATGATGTAAGCTTTAAATTCTGGTCATCTGGTCATCCAAAAAAGGGAAGCTATTATTCTGTTTCTTAAAAAAATGTAGGCTATTTTTAGGTTTTTTTTTTTTTTTTTTTTTTTT